CGTCAGACGAAGTGAACAAAACAGTTCCAGTAGGAGCGGCCGTACAGGTCAGGGCCACAAGGGTGGATGTTCTCGGTGCTATTTCTGTGTCTGAAACAATGACAAGTTTGTAACCTTCAGAAAGAGAATCTACCAAACAAGAGCTTGGCAGCGGTGTAAGGGCAACTTCTGCACGTGAGCAATCTATGATAGCCCGATGACGCGAAAGAAAGTCCCATCCAAGAATGACTTCGTGGGAGCATGATGCCAGCACAAAAAATTCAATGGCATAAAGTTCACCTTGGATAATGACACGTGCAGTGCACACTGCTGTAGGTTCTATGCACTGCGAGTTGGCCGTGCGGAGCATCAGGCTTGAAAAAGGCGTCGTTACCTTTTTCAACTTGCGGCATAAAGTCTCACATATTATGGAAACGGCGGCTCCTGTGTCGATAAGCGCTTGTGCGGCGGTCCCCTCAACATTGACGTCGATAACGTTTTGCGGCAAGAAAGATGGAGGCCTTAAGCAGTTCGAATGGTGTGCAGCTGTTGCCTCCGGAGCTGCAGCGATTAGTTTCCCTCTTCCGTAGCAGGTCGGCGACGCATAGGTGATAGGGAGCGTCGTCGGGGCGATGGTGACCGATGGTTTGTGAAGGGTCGATGACCGTCAGTGGTGTACCTTGATGGCGTCCTAGACGACGACGCAATTGGCCTGCCCACGGTGTCAACTGGAGGGGGATCTCGGCGACAGTGGCGGGCGACGTGTCCACCTATACCACAGGCGAAACAGATGGGCCTATTATCCGGCATCCGCCAAGCGTCTGCTCGACGGTAAAATGGAGCTGAAGATCTCGCGTAGGGATACGGCGCAGCAATTGGGGTTGTAGGCACGACATAGGGCGGCGTGGCAGGTTGAGCATATGGCATTTGCTGTTCCGTAGGCCGAGCAGCGACGGCGCCGTAAGTGAGAGGCGTAGTGACAGGTGGTTGCTGATGCATCGGTGGAAGGGCCTCAGCGACTTGGGTTCGAATGGCGTGTTGGAGGTCCGGTGCCAAAGCTTGCGCGGGCTCATGTGTCAGTGGCAGCAGTGACAGCTGGCGTGCTACCTCTTCGCGGACGAAGTCCTTGATTGTCGAAAGCAGCGGCTGCTGGTCGGTAGAATGGGCAGCTAGGTGCAAGCTTGCGAGTATGTCTGGCGTCGTGAGGGCTTGACGAGCGATTGCGTGCTGCCTATGCAACTCATCGAAGCTCTGACAGAGAGAAACGAGCACAGCAATTGGGGGGGGGGGGGGGGATTTCTCGCGAGCAACATCTGAAAGGCGCTGTCGTCAATGCCTTTCAAAATGTGCCTGATTTTTTCTTCCTCAGGCATGGTAGAGTTGACGCGGTTGCATAGATGCAACACATCTTCAATGTAGCCCGTGAAGGTCTCGCCTGGTTGCTGCGCACGGTGACGTAAACGGTGCTCGGCTTGAAGCTTGCGTGCCGCAGGTCGTCCAAAGACGTCCTTAATAGCAGTCTTGAATGCAGACCACGTAGGAATGTCAGCTGCATGGTTATTAAACCACAGTTACGCGGTGTCCGCAAGGTAGAACGTGTCGTAGCCCAGCTTACTTGGGTCGTCCCATTTGTTACTTGCGCCGACTTTGTCCTACCTCGCCAACCAATCTTCGACATCCGACTCAGTGGAGCCCGTGAAGATAGGAGGGTCCCGTTGAGGATACATGGCGCCGCAAGTGACGTGGACGGTCGAAGGTCCCACCTGGAGAGGCGTCTCGGTGGCCATGTTCGTGTCACGTAGAGGGGGAAGCTTACGGGAGCGAAGTTCCAGGTTTGTACGGGAGTCCACACACCTCCACCAGATGTCACGTAGTTTACTTACTTGGAGACCTACTGGAAGGCCAAGGAACGCCAGAAGAGCGAGGAACGTCAACAGGCCGAAAATACAAAACAAGCGCAAGCTCGTGTCGCGCATGTGCACCAACGCTGTGACTTGCCGTTTCTTACTTCTTCGTCGTCGTTCGCATAGTTTTCTACAATGGTAAATACTTTGTAGACTCAGCTACAAATGTTCAGGTTTACGCCATGATGTTCTCATCATGATTTACTGCATGCATATTCGCACAATATTAGAGTTCGGCTGCGTCTTGTTTTCTGGTGCACCTGCATTCGGACCACTAGTTCTTTTAGAATGCTAATCATTGTGATTATGTCTTGGACTTCCAAAATTTGTATCAAATACTATTTTATACAAAAAAGCACGCTTGCCTTCTTTTCGTACTCAGTTTATTATCCTAACCGTGCGTACATTTCTACTAAAGATCTACGATTGCCATTGAGGAGATTGCAATATATTTTTCTTAATCATCCGACGCAATTTTTTTACCATCAGTAGCCAAGATTAGGGTGTCTCCAAGTCATTTTCGCACAGCCACAATTGGAAACATTTCAACTGCAGCTCCGTGAAGTATTAATCATAAGCAGATCTATACAAAGAAGTCTAATAGAATTGGATGACATATTTGCCAAGAATTGCAAACATTTGCCCAGTAGATACTTGAATTGCATTTTGAAGGACCATTTATCTAGATTAGAAACGGCTTCAGTGATAACAACTTAAGCTTCAGTTTGTGAAGAAAAGGTAGGGGTGGGAATGGCATCATTATCTTTGGATTCTTCTTTTTTCAATTCGCTTACCTGACTTTACTCCTATTTATCATGAATTACTTGCCATTATATGAGCTCTACGGAAATTACCCCTAGCATTATCAGAAGCCGCCATTCTGACAGAAAGCCTATCCGTCTGTTCCTCATTAACTGCATCAAATTGTTCTTTTTTTTAGAAATATTTTATTCCCTCATTTCAAGACATATACATATTATTCGCTTGGTGTGAGTACCAGGGCACAAAGGTATACCTCTAACTGAACAAGCAGATGCACTCGCACTTTTATCATGTAATGGTTCGATAATGTCTATTTTGCCGACATTGGCGTTTGTAACCGTGGCGCGTTTTGAAAAATTTGCCATATCGGACAACTTCGCTAAGTCTGCGTTGTCAGTTTCTGAGTTCCCTCACCTCAATTATCATTGGAAGAATCGATGGTGTTCCTCCAGAAGGACCGAGATTGCAGGTACCAAAATACGATGTTGAGTCCCCCCACTGAATTTTTACCTACACAGGTCTGGTCTGGTACAGTCACTTTTATGCCTCCATTGCAATGAGTGTGAATCTCTTGATCATTTCTTTCTAACGCACAGAGTACTCACCAATCAGAGGGAAAAAACTTTTAGAGAACCGCTTCAAAGGTTTAGATTAAATTTATCTCTTCCGGTTCTTCTTTCCTTTGGGGCTACCGTGCTGGGTTTCAGCCACAGGAGCGTTTGCGAGGCCGTTTGCAATTCCCTTCGGGAGACGAGAAGAATTGAATGCTAAGTATATCGTTAAAAAAGTTATCAAAATCAAGCATTATAAATAAAAATTTAACATTTCAAAATTATGAACATTTCCTTTTAATTAGCAAGGCACCGTTCGTTTCATGGCCGATCCCCCATGGTGGGTTGCGCCAGGATAAAAGAGACAAACAAACAAACATCAGTGTAGCCTTGGTGGACCTAGGGATAAAACACTTTCGTGTTAATAGACCAATTACTTTTACGTTACTTTTTTTTTTCAATTTTAAGTGCCAAGCATTTCCTTGCCTACTCGCACCAAAAAGATTGTACCTGACGTGATCTTGACTCAAAAAGAATGGCTTACACTTGAAAAAATCCCGTAGTTTAGCAGTGTTCCATATCATACCAGGAACCTCATGCCCAAGAACCACGTGAGTAGGTCATTCAAGTATGGATAAACATCAAGCCATGAACAATGAAGTTATAAAAAGAAATACACAAAAATTCTGGCAGATTCAACACATTGTTCGAATCGATTTCATCAAAGCAGTCAGCGAGTAACTGCCTTTTTTTTCTACTTTGAGCTGATAATTACAAGCGGGTTGCATGCCTTTGTGTAAATTAAGTAACTGTTGGAACATTGTGGGTTTACCAAGCACATTGGCTACAATAGCACCTAAAGGGTACCTTATGATGAGTCGTAAGTAAAATGTGCAGGCACGCTTGCATAGCGTCCGGGGTTGCATATATGTAGCCTCTGCCCCTTGCCCCACCACAATGCAATTAACTTTCATTAATGTCTCAAATGCCGGGGCGTAGACAATGAATGAGTAGAAAAAGGTTCAAGCTATAAAATTACCACGGAAAAATGAAAGACTAGTGAGGTATCGATATCTGAGCCAACAATACAGCCCGCATGAATTGCCATTAAGATGAGCAAAAATATACAGAGTGCTAAGGCTTGTGTTTCAAGACATTCACATCCACGAGGCTGCCATGTTCTGTGACTTGAGGCACATGACTGTAGTTCACATGAAACACCATCTTCAAAGCTGTGTCTCCTGTTAGTTTTTCTTGTGAATGAAGTAACATGTTACAGGTTGCTGATTACACAAAAAGAGTAGTTGATTTGGTATGAACCTCTGTCAATAAAAGCATGTTGAGTGAAAATAATGCTCTTATAACCATTTACACAAATACCAAAAATTTAATCGACAACATGTAATTAATTACACACAATTGGGTTGCACACAAGCCTCATGAATGCTTAGTCAATGCTATCCTCCATGTTTTTCTACTCCTTCTCCTAAAAGCTACAACTAAGAAAGCAATAAAAAGCAGTGCTTTGCTGGAAATATCTCCTTCATATAACTAATACTAAGTAGACTTCATTATTTCTAAAATTATAGTTATTCACAAGATAACAACCAACTTCTCAGTGATTAGGAATAACGTACTTGGCTTTGTTTACGTGAAACGTCCTCCAATAAAAAATATCAGAGCATGGCAATTGGGACTGCATGCGCACGTTTATGCTTTCTGCGAATTTTATGAAGTTGCTTAGACTCTGCTACCACCATCAAATCCACTTACAGCTGTTTTATGCTCTTCTGTCACGCTTCAGAAAATCGGTGCAGTCCAAACGACATGTTTCTGTGCATGGAATCAAAGATTTGCATTTCCAAGGCCCTGTTTTGTGATGGCATTGACCACTGCGGCGATGGCACTGATGAGCCAGAGGACTGCGGTAAGAGCATATTGCGCTGTTTCACACACACAAAAAAAAATGATGACGCAAATGTGTTTCCTACTTGGCTTTATTGAATGTCTTTTTTTTATATATTCACTGATTCTCCATTCATGAATGTCTGCCTGCTGTCTGTTCTGACCCTAGTCAACATCACAAAAAACTCCTAGCCATTATTGCCTGTAGGCATAGGTTGGCAAAGGAAGTGGAACTCACTCCGACTCACTCAAGAAATATATACATATTGCACTTTGGACTCGCTCGGACTCGGACTCACCAAAATTTTCCTGGGTCGAACCGAGTCGAACTCACACTTACGAAACTTTCCTTAAACCAGACTCACTCGAACTCGCCAAAATATTGTGCACTCAGACTCACGGCTTGATCCGAGGCTGAGGGAGTCGACTCATGAGTAAGCTCGCCGACCTATGCCTACCTAATGTAGGTAAAAATATGCCATACATACCAGATAAAAGCAGAACTGACAAATGTAGCATGCATAGGTGTGTGCGGGGGGGCACTCTTCATAATTATCTAAGATGGGCGTCCAGTCAGCCCTACATCTTTAGTCAGACCTGGTCAGACCTGTCCCATGCTTGTTCAAAGCCTAGCAGGATCTTGAAGCCACATACAACTTTGGTGACAATGGTTGACAAGGGCACCTGATGTTTCATTCCAAGAACATTTTATTTCCCACCTACCCCTAAGAAAGCCTGGCACAAAAGGCAGGCCGTTGTGAGAAGCATGTCATTAGTTGCACTTTCCTTCTTGCATCCATAGCACAGCTCGTTTTCTTTTGAACCTGTGCTATTGGGAGGCTTTGTTTCCCCTGGTGGAGAAGAGCCCTGTACACGCTCTTAGTTTCATGAATCACAGAGTTAGAATGCTGCAAATCACAATGTGTGCAAGCAGGCATAAAGGGCTAGAGCAGTCAACAACGAGTACAAGATATGAACGAGAGGAAGGAGAGAATGTATGTTTTACAGCGAAAGCTGCTATGAGATCAGAACACAGGTTACGTGCAGCGCCGTAGTTGTCCGCCACCGTCGCGCCCGCCAGTGTTCATAGCCAGTTAATTAGCCAGTTAATAGCCAGTTAAAGCCATCACAAGAAATAAGAAAAAAGATTCGGTAAATAAAAAACCCCAAGGGCACAATGGAGTTCGAACACGGGTCTGCTGCATGCCAGCCCAGTATTCCACCACTGACCCACGCCAGTGCTTGGAACTCGTTTCTAAACTGGCCTTAGGTAGGATTGATGTCGGGAAAATATTTGTGTTAATATGAGTAATAAAGCATTTTAGAACATTAATAGAATAACCAGGCATCACACAATGCAACTTGCGTAACGAGTGGGTTGTCCAATGCTCCAACCCGTTATAAAACTTGTTCTTGATCACCTATTAACTGAGGTGCATACCCACTTCAGGCACAACTCTTCATCATCATGAGCCACTGCATAAAAAATTGCACAAAATTTTAGCAAGTGTGTAGCGGATACAACGCTTCTCCGAAGAATGACGAATAGCGTAGTGAATGCTCGCCTACTACACAAAAGTTACGATTATTTATGGTGTAGTGGGTACCCAGCAACCCAGACAACACAAACACAACCTCAGGACGTCCTCAGCATGCTTTCGTGAGGACAATATGACGCCCTCAGAATGTCCTCTTATGGTACTAGAATGACACTAATCCCGTCCCCTTGTCCGTACACATAACAACCTCAGCACATCCTCAATACAACACTTCAGGACTTTTTCAGTATCTTTTCAGAACAACGATTGTGTGGCCGGTTCGGTACTGTGGGCAGTGATACTACTTGGGATTTACTTCTTTTCATGATATGTCCATACATCAAAAGAAAAACACCTGCGAGGTCTCGTGTATATATACTGTATTAATCAACAGACAGGTGACAAAACAAACAAAGCTTATTTACTGAAATTTATTTAACAGTAATTAATCACAACTGACAGTTTTATCAGGCGTTCGAGTCCGCGTATAGTCTGAAAAAAGAAAAACAGTATCAAGGCAGTCAACACAGGTCAATCAACTACGTTTGTAATCTTCCTCGAAAGTTTGACACAGTGTCTTCATCACCACGTGTATCGCGCCCAATGCACTCAGTGTTTGAGGCTCCGCTCTGACAGCCTATCAGTACACTCGACATGGGCTTTGACTTGACTTGCCCGAAGTCAGGCCATGTGTCAGATGCAGAAGTAGATCCTTCCACGTTGGGACCATGCTGCTTCGAAGCACAATTGATATCTGGTGTTCCAGGCTGCTTCGAACCACACCTCGCCGCGGTCGGCTGGTGACAATGCATCCATGATCAGCCTGAACGTTGTGCAGCCCAGTGCACCCATCAGCACGGCAATTTACCAGGCGTCATCACCTACGACTCATACATATTTCACTTTTAACCATGCACACCAACAACAAAGGCCACGTACTTCCACTAGTACACTCCACCTTCCCTGACAGAGCCGCCGCTGCCATTTTGACAGTCAGTTGGCTTGGAATGGCTTGGCTACTTGACTATCTAAAATGGTGCCGCATAGTCATTGGTTGTCAGCTGCTAGTTTGTTATTACGCGCTACAGTGGCGTATAATGACTAATTTAAGGCGGTGACATTTGGGAACACACTGTTTCAAATTGACATTTCGCAATACCGGGTTCGATACCTAAGCCAATTATTTATGCGTGTATCATTAAGCGAAACGCGTAATTTGAAATTTTTCTGCCAAAATAGAAACAAACGAGGCGAAAATATACAATAACTTTATGACTGTATTAAACGAACGTGTGAAGAAAGTTTTCACATACGAAATGCATCTATTTGGTGCGCAAAGGTCTTGAGGAATTATATCTAAGTGCTCAGTGCAATGTTCTGTCATCCCCAAAAGGTCCTTGACAGGACCTTTTCCAGACCAATTGTCCTCGGAAAGCACTCGAAAAAACGTTTGAACTGGCGCTCGTGCGTTACTTTTGTCCTCTCCAAAACGTCCTTAAAAATACTTTTTCAGGATAAATTGTTGTCCTCAGAAAGCACTCGAAAAGACGTTTCTGGGTCAACCCAGCTTGTGTCGTCCTCAGTAAGTACTAAGGTCAATGAGAACTGCGCAAGGACGATTGTACCATATGAGGACGAGCTCAGGGCATCGAGTGTTGTCTGGGAAGTGTGCTTGTAGCAGTTACCCAAAGCGTGTTTAGAAAAGGCTCCGAAAGGCCCCTCTTCCAGCTTTCACGCATGCACCACGCAAAAATAGCCTTTAAGATTTGTTTCCGATATTATGCAGAGCGATTTCTAGTTCACTATTGCTGTTAGACTTGAAGCCCACAATATGCAGTGTGCTAACACTATATGAAATCATAAAGTCATACTTTTGTTATGCGGCTGTAGAGGAGTTAGTCATGATTTCAAAAGTCACCAGTACACGAGACTAATGTATAGTATGTATGTATGGGGGCGGAAATTAGTACTGTTGTGCAGGGAATTATGCTTGGAATTTCGTCACTGTTTGCTGGGAAATATTGCCAAAATAGGGAATTTTCATGTCTCTGAATGGGAATTCTTCAACGTAGTACAGAACATCACTGATTGAAGCTACGTATATTATCCTGTTTGAACAGTACAGACAAGAAAAAGAAACACAGCACCTGTCCATGTTTCTTTTTCGTCGTTGTTTCGTTTGAGTGGTTCAACTAAGATGAACACATGCCATCTCGTTCAAGCTTCCATTCCTTCACACATTACTTTGCCTCATTTGTTCCCCAGTTGACATGCATAGACAGCTGCGAGACATGGATCTGTGGAGGGAGGCCAAAGTACATAATTAATATTAGTGTCATTCCAGAAAAAAACTGTGCAAACATGCAGGAACAATGAAAGAAAAGAGATACATACATTGGGCCGAAAGGTATTGAAGACAGCCGATTTTACACGTGCACTGGTAATTTTGTAGTATTTTTTTTTTTGCTCTTAACGTTGCTCAACCAAATAACTCAGACTCGCACTCCTGGTTGTTGATTGCTCTCTGTGTATGTGTGTGTGCGTGTTAATATCTGTCAGCGTCCAAAAGAGCTGTATAGAAAGGTACCTCCCACAATCACTGGAATGCATGGTTGGCATTAAATTTTTGCCAATTTGAAATTTTTATAATGGGTACAATATTCTACATGTCGGTTTTGCATCCTCTCCTGGAGAGGACTTATTCCACCAACATGAAATATTTCAGTGAAGGATTCACAGTATATGTTCTTACTAGCTGCTAGAACATGGCATCATGACTGCGTATACTGGAGCAAACATAACACAAAAAGGTACTGTAGAAAAAAAAGTTACAACTTCCAACCAATAGTTGGAAGTCAGCTTTTTTTTTTTTTTTTTTGGTGCGAAGCAGCTCTTCGATTAGCCTGAGTAACGCTGTCCGTCCGTGCCAACGCACCGCACCATGCTCCCCTCGCCGCAAGTGTTGGGGCGGTGCCACGTAGGTCACGCCTTCTTTCGCAATGCCGTCACTCTCCCTCTCTTCACCCGCTCCACCGCTCGCAACGTTCGAGCGCACATCGAGTGATTTATTTATATCTTTCCACTATTCTTTTTGTCCATCCTCCCCCCCCCCCCCCTACAAGGCACTGCGCCGCGTTGCCAAAAGGCAGACATAAATTAGGAAGAACCACTCAAACACTCACTCACCTTTTCGGCTCGTTTATCTACAGTGTAGTTTATCTGCGATGGAAAGGACGCCGGAAAGCGAAGCTCCTTCGCCCGCTGAAACATTTGCCGAAGCGATTTGGACTAACCCGGCCGTCGCCGGCGATGCGAGGGTTAGCAGATCCGATAGCGTTCGCGAATTGACTTACGTCGCGCCTGCAACACCGATGGCACTGCGCCGTGCTCCCGACCGGGTTGCAGAAATTGGGTGCCTTCTCTCATCTTGTAACCACTACCACCACCACCAACACCGACGAGGCGCAAGTCGGTTAAAAACGCCGATCGCGTCGGTACGCAACGCTGCTGCATCCCATCAGGGTTCCCTTTCGAGATTTTTTTTTTTTTCAGCTCAGTCTCTTCCTGTTTTACACTGTGTTACTAAATGATTCAGCATAGAAGTTCCTACAAATTTATTACTAGAATGGACAAGTTTCTTTCCACCCAGGTCAGCAACACTCGGTCAGTTACGGAACACCGCATAGACCAAAACCTTTCCCCAATAACCTTGCTTGCATTATTTGCCACTTTCATTTTTTTTTTTTTTGAAATTCAAGCAGTTTGATTCGGGACGTCAATCTAATTTGCATACCTCGCATGCCATTTTTTGTCACATGCAGAGAGCAGAAACCGGCGCACCTGGATTGAGTGGGCTCCATTGCTGAGCTGGTTATCGGTGTACGGCCTCTTCAGTGCAGTTCTCTTCAAAGTGCACTCCAAGAAAAAGCGGTCCATCTTGGTGCTCAGAAATTTGTGACCTCAACTTAGAACAGTATTCTTTTTGACAGTATGACCAAGCACCGAATGACCATGCAACGAAAAGTTCAACGAACGGGGATTCAGAGTTGTATCTGAACAAATTTCACGCTTGAGACCAGTTCGAGCTTCCATGCATCAGTGTACGTAGTCGGTTCTGCACGATACTACTAACGAAATTCCATGTGGGGCCGATACCACTGCACGCATCGTACTTAGTTCTGACAAAACCCAATTACACATTAACGAAATCATTCATTACAGATGGGTCATTTCCATAATCACCATTTTCAACCATAAGCATTACAAATTTCATCAGCAAATCGACAATCTGCTCAAATATCCACTCAACCTTTTCATGTTATCCATGAATTTCCTTTCTACCAGAGCACGAGTCCGGCTGGACAAGTGCGACTGATTCCGCCAGTCATTTCATCTTAATTTCCAGGAATTGAACTTCCATATCGTTTAAACCTTCCGTAATTTGCTGCACTGTGCTTACATTGCCTCACTGAAGGCTACGGCAGAAAACTTTGCCACAGATACAAAACAAAACAAAAAAAAAAAGAGAGCAGTTTCAACTTTCTTGAATAGAACACCAACTTCAGCAGCACTTCAAGCAAGCGCGTTAACAGCGATTTTCGTATCAACTTTCTAGAGACATTTTTGGCTCAAAAGCTTTTTCCATCAATACTCCAATGCACCAGATTTCATTAATGATAACACACACGTACTTTAGTCCTAAAAAAGGACTATTTGACCTTTTTGCAAATCTCAAGGAACTAAGGCCATTCATGTTAATGCAAATTACTTTGTAAAAATTGTTGCATGGAGGCTTCCTCAAATTAGGTATCAAACGAATTTGTCCAAGTATGCTACACGGGCAGCCGAACAAATTCATAGTGCTCAAGTGGAGCCTGTTATCGATGCACTTGAATAGACATATTCACGCCATTTGTTTGAGCTGAAACTTTTTTCACGCGAGGCATCTCGACCAACTAGCATATTATTGCGTCTATCGTACAAAATAAAAGCCGTTGCAAGCAAGCACGAAAACGTTAACAAGTTGCTGGGTTTTTTTGTGCCAAGCCGTGCTTCCAGAGCAAATATACTCTGTGATGAACGTGAACAGTAAACATTTGAAAGCACTGCAATCTCGACACTCATTTGTGTACTTTCTAAACATAAAACTGTAAAGGCCTTTTGAACACATTTTTATAACCTCTCAAGCCAAATTAAAGAAATTGCAGACACCTTTTATACTGCAACATAAATGGGCAGGCAGTTTACAACATTAAGTATTCCTTTGAAGAGGGAAATGGTAGATACGACTTAGCCCAAGATGATTCTAGCTGGGACTTTCAACTGGCCTCACACAATAGTTGTGTATTACTACCACAATTTTTTTACAAGATAAAAGTAAAAAAAGTTCACTCACCTTTATAAGCATGTCCAGGAGATTATGCGAGTATTGCACATTATGCGAGGTCAAGCACAGTGCAGACCACAAGAAAAAAAAAAATAGAGCACAACTATTGGTTCAGCATCTCTTTTTCTTCCTCGTTTTTACTGGGCAAAACTTAAAAATAAATAAACACAGAAACATCCCCACAGACAAATTTCAGAGATGGCTGCTTCTGTGTCGGCTTAAGTCCCTCCACTCCCAACAAAAACACTCGGCATGCCCCTGGCATCATCACGATGGTAGCAGCCATCAGTCTTCAAGCAGTCAAAGCGGCAACACTAAGCAGTCCGTCCGTCCCGACCTGCTTGTTTTTCACTTTTTTTTTCTTTTAAAAAAATGTCTCTGCTATGTACCAACAAGCCCAAATCAGAGAGAAGGGAGAGAGTAGGTGGGAACAGCTTGCACACACACACGCACACACTGCTTTGTACACACTTCTTCAGCGAAGCACTTCCTTTTCTTCATCTTTTCTTTTCTCTCTTTCATTCGTGCACAATGTGCAACAGCAGAAATTGAAGAGTAATTAACATATTTCCACAACTCCCACAAGCCCGAATGTGATGCCGTGCTTGTGCTGGAGAGCAGATATGGGAGGGGGGAAGTAACGAGGAAAACATCTATTAACAGAAAGTCTCTGTTTCCTCAGCTGCAACTTGGCAGAACAGAAAGAAGGCAGCTGATGACACTGGTAGCGATGACGATGGTCGTGATCCACATGCTCTCTGGCAAGTCCATCCCATGAGCTCCATAACCTCGACAGCAGCACAGCGTGTGCAGAGATGTCGCTTCTATCGGCAGTATAGAAAGTCATCACAGAATAGTAGTAGTAGTATAGACACAGGCAAGAAGTGCCACTGTTCATATTGTGTAGATATCAACTACTGGTGTGTAGAGGGCATGAGGTGAAGGGGGGATGAAGGACAGAGGGGCTTGACTAGAAAGTGTGCTCCCCAAGTTGACTCAACATCACACGTGCACAAAAAAAAAAAAAAAGAGACAGGCGAATGAATAGTTTCTTGGGAAGTCAATTTCTAAAACGATACAACTTCAAACATAAAGAAGCATCTAGTCAGTTCAACAGATTTAACCAACAAGCCTGCATTGCTCCCAGAGTGAGAAAGTAAAGAAAGAACTTAGGCTTTCATGATAAGTTCACGAATTTTAAAAGAATGCACTAACAATACGTTCCCTGCTACGCAATGCTTCTTGACATGTCCTTTCAACAAAAGCATAAAATCTACTATGTCCACCAGTCCTTACTACATTCCTGTACACGCACAATTGAAGAAGGAAAACAACGTCTTGAAAAAAGAAATGCTAAAAAAATTTAACACATTTACAACAAGAAACACTTTTCACAAGCCACGATAACATGCTCTCATAAGTTCAGAAAAAAAAAAAAAGTAAGGAGCTCGTGGGATGGGCCATTAGTACAGTCTTCAAACAACAGCATGTTCAGACAACAGTGCATTGCAAGGTTCCACACACAGTGGCAATATTAAAGATACTAGTAAAAAAGAGAGTGGAACAAAAATATTAGGATGAGGCAGTTAACATACATCCACGGCCACGGCAGAAGCCATAACCCAGTGTCAATATTCCTAATGACAAGAAAGCAAAGAAATTGGTGCATACAACACAGACTCCATGATGCTCTAGGTTTTGTTCAAAAAAGGAAAGGGCTTAACCTTACTCACAGCACTAGGCACCTTGTCTTGCAAACTACAACAGTGAAGGTAATTGTGGAGTTTTTGTAAGACCACAATTGACACTGTTCTTTTTGTTTGTTTTTGTGCGGTTGATCTTGCTTTTCAAAGAACAAGCTGCAAAGCATACTCTAAAAAATATTGCAGCCGAGAACAGAGGAAAAAAAAAAAAAAAAAACAGGCAGACGTGTAACAGCTGCTACTTTACATTCCCCATTAAATGAAACTCATAACTCTATACACTGAAAAACACAGCATATTAAGGCCACATTTACTTTTTTTTTTGATTTTGAAAGGACACTTCATTGTCTGTGCAAAAACATCTTAAAACGAAAGAGAAGAGAAAACACTTTCGTAATGACTTATCACTCCACATGAGCGACACCCGATGCTACTGCTGAAATAATGAAATGGCAACACCAAAAGGTAATGCAATGAAATAATGGACTCTTCAATAGACTGGGTTCATCTCATGACACCAGAAGGAAAATGCAGCAATCTTTCAGAATGAGGGGAATATCATTGCCTTGGTCGTTATACTGTTTGCCTCTATGCAATCATTAATACTAATTAACCACTGCTAGGCAACTTTCAGCTGTGCCTCAACTGATAATTACTAAAGAAACCCTGGGCTCCAAATTCATGGGGAACCATACACCATTACATACTTTTCTCCAAACTTTTTTGCAATGACTTCACAATATTTAGAGCACCAAGAATTTCTAATTTCACTTCATTCACAAAGTGAACCCCGCTATCTCATCTATTTTTTCAATTAGAAAATTAAGTGTCCATGGGGAAGAGGGGTGAAAAGAAAGAAAGGCAGATATCCCAATAAGCACAGAGTAATGGTCGTTCTATCAATCTTACTCAGCACAACTCGCAGTCACTGCGAGTAGTTGGCAGCACGTGTCTCATGATAGCGAAGATGGAAGTAGAGGGCAGGTAGATTAGACATGGGTGTAGAGTTGCGAAGGGGAGTGGATGAGGAGGAAAAAAAAAAGTACAGAAAGAGAAGGCAAATTCCCTCATTGATACATGCCTATTCACACACATGCACGCCCACACAACACCGACGCTGGATGCGCCGCGAGAGGGAGCGCACGAGCAGCGAGAGAATACGGTGGCAGAGGGAAGCGGTGTAGGGAGGGAAAGAGCAAGGACATGCTGTGCCACAAGTCCAGTCCACATGTCCCTTCCCTCTGCCAACATAGTGTCAAACATGCTTCCCCAGCTGTGGCACACGTGTCTCGCGTGCCTCACTGCCCTGGCAAGGAACACACACCGTCTCTGCCTAGTCACGCGCAGGCTCCCCCGGAACAACAGCAACAACAAACTGCCGGGGGAAGGGGGGGTGCCGCTCCGGGAGCAGTGCGCGACCTGCCGCCGATTTGGTTTTTTTCTCTCGTCTGGTGGTGGTGACGGTGGTGGCAGCACGCCTGCCCAACGTGTCCCCGCTGCACTTCTTTCTCTTTTATATGCTTCATCTCTGTTCCAGCTAGTTTCAAAGGTATTTCCTTAGGCCAACGATGTTGGCTACGACTTGTCTGAAACACTGGCCTGCCGCCCATGTTTTGAATAGTTCGGTTTCAGGTACTCCTCGTTGGACAAGCTGAACACGTCAATGCGATCTTCCTTGCGGTACTGCAAGCAGCGGCGGATGAATTGCTGCAACAGGAGAAAAATTAGGGGGGGAGAAAGGTGGAAAAAAGAAGAGAAGACATGACTCTTTCAGCATTATGTTTCTCAACTTTAGTTTCAAATGCATTCTAAGGAAATTAATTTATTAAAGCTAGGCAAGTATTACTTATGAGTGTTCCATAATAACATGCATACTTCCTTTTCATTTTCTCCCATCTCCCTGCCTTAAACTACTGTATGCATCACTCTGTGTAGGCCTTGCCTGCATGTATTACAACCTTTTCGAATGTTCTTTCAGCTGCTCTAACAAGATTGCATGTTATATCTATAGATGTTACGTGTTATATTTATAGATGAGATGTCCGAGAACTGCACTCATTATCACTGTTCGCCAAATAATCACTTCAGTCTTAAACTTACGCCTTATTTTTAACCATCACAACAATGTGACAACAGGTAGAAGATTGTATACACAACTCTGCTAGTTTAAGTGCTCGCTGAATTATTCTAAAAATTTGCACAGATGTGGTCTTTTACTGTAAGTTAAGTACAAAATATCAAGCTACCTGGTGGTACAGTAAAACCTCATAACTAGGATTTCATGATTGTGAGAAAGAAGTATGCTTTACTGAACATATTAAGACAACAATGAACAAATGCCATCAACGCACTTTCTTGGTATTTTGCATAAAGGCAGCATGTAAGCAGTAATTCTCGTCATATCTTGACACTTCCTTTTCACTGTGACTACGGCACAAAACCTATATTTTCATTTAACATGTGCGCACGATAGCAATTAACCTTGCAAATATAAGAGTGTAAATACCTGTGGCCATTAAAATGCTGTTAAAATGCTGTCTACACATGATGAACAACACAGCTGCCGAATTTCACGAATGATGAAGCAAGTCAGCAACACTATTCGTCAGTTGGCTTAACTGCTGTGGGTACTAAAACTAAAGCTTTTGTAACAGTGTTGCTAATGACTGAACATAACCCACACCATGATGCAATGCCTCACCTTAGCCTCATTACTGACAGCAGGCTTCGCGGGAAACTCCACATCCGTTGCTTTCAAAATTGTGTTTTCTTCCAATATTGTTGCCTGGGACTGATTGTGGCCAAACGGCTGCAAATGAATAAGAGCAGGGCGAGGAAATCGCAACATGAAGGATGATAAACAAGGCTACTATCAGCAACTGGAACAGCAAATAACCAATTGGAGCACTTTATACACCCAAGCACATAAAAGTGCGAACTGTAGCTGCTCCATAGCCCAACGCACCTAATGAAGTCTTAATTATGCCCTTATTGTATCTGCAAGAGTATGGAAAACAAAATGCACTGGAGTTGTTTTGAAAATGCAGAGCATGACTTAAAGCTGATACAGTCAAATCTCGTTACTACGAACACCGAATTAACGATTTTTTCAGATTTACGAATATTTTGAAAATCCCCACCAGATTGCCTATATATTTTCAATGTAAAATATTTCAGAACAACGAATTTCAGTACAATGTATATTTCAGAATAACGTGCATAATTTATTTGCTCGCCTATACGCAAGGAACATCAGTATTACGAATTTAGTTAAAAGTAGCAGCACCGCAACTCTCACGTAGCGCAGTAGCCGCTGTTTTTTTCCATGCACGGAAGCTATCATCATCACCGTGTTGAGAGCCGACTGCTAGCGCCACCACACAGGTATGGTTTGATGTGTGGCAGCTTAGCAGGCCTAGCCTCGTTGCCTCGTCCTTCGTCGTGCGTCCTTCGTGCCATGCACGTGTGAAGTCTGCTGCGTTCTGTTGTCGTTCTTTTTTTCTTAGCTTTCTGCAAAGTGTTTGGAGACCCGACGATGAATGCACCAGGTGACAGCGCTAAGAAGAGGCGAAAGCAGCTTTCCCTGCAAGAAAAGGTGGATTTGTTGAGGGAACTTGACTCGGGCAAAAAGCAAATCGACCTCTGCAGGGAGCGTGGCATTGCCCCGTCGACTGTCGCGACCATTTGGAAAGACAGAGAAAAGATTCTGAAGCTTCACCGAGAGTCACAACTTGCACCTACGAGGAAACGGTTGCACCTGGGAAATTTTCAAGATGTCGACCAAGCTGTGCTCACCTGGTTTAAAGATGCCCGGCTGCAAAACACCCCAGTGTCTGGCCCAATGCTTCAAGAAAAAGCCCGCGAGTTCGCCGACGCACTTGAAGTAACTGGGTTTGATGCAAGTGCGGGTTGGCTTTTTCGTTTTCGCCAGAGAAACAGCATAACCTGGCAGGTAGTCTCAGGTGAAGAAAAGGCTGCGGACAAAGAGGGTGCAGATTCCTGGCGGAACGATCGTTTCCGAGAGGTGGCAGAGTCGTACTCCGAAGACGACATTTTCAACGCGGACGAGATTGCGTGCTTCTACCAGCTCTTGCCAGATCGGACGATGCACTTCAAAGGTCAGCAGTGTAAAGGAGGCAAGAAGCCGCATCTCCGCGTGACGGTCTTGCTCTGCTGCAATGCGTCGGGCACGAAGAAAATCAAGCCGCTTGTCATTGGAAAATACGCAAAGCCTCGCTGCATGAAGAAAGTCATATCCCTACCGTTCGACTATTGTGCGAACAAACGTGCCTGGATGACAAGAGAATTGTTTTCGCAGTGGCTCATCAAACTCGACGAACAAATGAGGAAAGAAAATAGAAAAATTCTTTGGATTGTCGACAACTGTTCAGCCCACATTGTGAATGTTCGCTTGACGCACGTTCGCCTGGAGTTTCTGCCACCGAACAACACGTCGTTGCTGCAACCACTAGATCAAGGCATCATAAAGAGTGTTAAGGCGGAATTTCGCAAGCGCCTTGTGCAGCGTTTTATTATAAATCTCCTCTTGAAGCAACCGACATCAGTCAACGTTCGTCAAGCGGCGGAAATGCTGACGGGAGCTTGGTGGAACGTGAAGACGTCAACAATCCGTAACTGTTGGCGAAAAGCAGGCCTAATCAAGGCGCCTGCCCAAGTTGAAGACAACCTGGAAGAGGACCACAGCAACCCAGGAGACCTGTGGACTGAGGTTGAGGAACTGTTGCCCGACATCTCTTCCTTCGACGACTACGTGGAGAGCGACAGCGGAGCACTAACGTCGGCGGACATGACAACCGAGCAGATTGTCAACAACGTTCACGACGTCTCCAGTGACGACGACGACCCGAAGGAAGAGGACTCTGTATCACCGAACACTGAAGAGGATGGACCATATCGCACTCGGATGTTTTGATGCACATGAACAAAGTCCGCACCTACATTGGTCGGTGCAGTGATGTGCCCGATGAGGTGCTACGTAAGGTGGAAGGTGTTGAGGCGTACTTAATCAGCCGTTTGTGCTCCACGCGTCAGAAGAAAATCACAGATTTCTTCAAATAAAGAATGTTTGAAGTGTGTGTAATTTTTTTTTTGTGTGTGTTTGCTTGTCGGCGCACACGGCAACTGCCAAGGTACGTCATGTTCGCTCCTAGGTTTGACCTCTTGCTTACAATCGAAGTTTTTCATTACAACGATATTTCAAAATAACGTACGAGTTGCGGCGGTCCCACTTAATTCGTTATATTGAGATTTGACTGTAATGCATGTTGAAGGCACGAACTGCTAAATGTGTTACTAAAGTAGCAACACTGCACAGTTGAGGAAACACTTTTTTCCTTGCTGAAAGGTTACACATGCATAGAAATGAGTACAGACAATTATCTACTTCACTGCCTCACGTAGCTGCCCAACGACAATTATCTACTTCACTGCCTCACGTAGCTACCCAAAGAAACACATCCTATGCAGACCTCACTGTTCATTACAGTGCAAGTGTGTCTCTTATAGTAGCTTGTGTTTCTGATAACCACAGGCATAACAGCAAGATAATGCAGTAAAGATCCGATGCTCAAGACACAAATGAGTTTATCCATGGTGTTTAATATGGCACCCTCTAAAAGATATCACAATGTGAAACCGAATAGGCATTTGGCACAACCTGCATTATATACTGCAACCCTTATGCATAGGAGCTGAAACAAATGTCATATGAAATAATAGTGACTGTACCATTGGTAATGCAAAGAATGTTTACACAGTGGAACCTCGATTACACGACTTTCAGGGGACCGTGCAGAAACATCGTATAATCCGGGCTTTATAATCGAAAAACTAACATTACAGGCAGCGACACTCAGCCTTGCCCAAAAAAAAGTGTACAGACCACCTAAATAAAGCACACAGCATGACCCTGCACTTTTCCAACAAAGGTGGACTAAATTATTCTTGAGAAAGACAGCTGTGCATTCAACTGAAAGAGCTGCGAGTGAATTTATATTCTCAACTTATGGCCAGTATACACGTACATTGAACCTTTTATTTCAAGGAGGCATACCGTATCTGCCTCACTATTTTATGGGCATGTAAATTTTTATTTCGCACCTGCGAAAGTTTAGTAGGTGTTAGATTGAAGTAAAAAAGGCAATTTTTTTTCTGAGACAGTGTTAGAGGGTCATTGCACAATGCGGAATTGGCGGGAAATTGCGTCACATAACTGAATTTTACAAAACAATATTCCTATAGGCCGTTTAGCTGGAACCGAGCCGATTTATCGTAAAATGTGGGCTGTTGCAAAACTGCTGAACGTATAACTGATGCTCTGCTGTAACTTTACTTGGAAGCATGTGGCTTGTTATTTATTTTTGCCATGACGAGCTACTAGCCTCTATCCCTTACAATGAAGGTATGGTTAAATGACAATTAGTTTCATCGTATGGTGAAAACATGACTGACATGACATCTTTTTTTTTTTTTTTAGCACCACTCCTCTTGGCCTAATTGTTTATCGAACATGATAGTGCGACTGGCCTTAGCTTTATTCCTAAGGCTGCTTTTGACCCAAGCACACCAGAAAAATGGTGACAGCCACCAACCAGGATCATGGTAGTTGCATGACAAATCTGTTTGCAATATAAACATGATGAATAGGACAATATAAAATTTCCCCCGAGTTTGTACGCTACACCATATGAAAGCTTTACAGCATATTTTCACAAGAGGAGGGGAGTAGTGTGATTTATCAAACACTTCATAGTTAAACTAGATGCTGAGAATTGAAGGTGCCACCACGACTATGAGGTACAACATTGGGCCTATTGATATGGGTGATAAAAGTTAGGGCAGCAATGAGCTTAATCATAGGTGTGCATTTCGAGACTATCACCTAGTTTGGAATCGTGCCAACCATGCTGAGATGCTGGGTCAGAAACATTGTTCATAGACCTAGACAGAACACATTATGGGAGCAGGGAACACCAACCTTTTTGCCATAGAGGCACTGATAGAAGATGACACCGACACTCCAGACATCAACCTTGGACGAGATCTTGGGTGGCGTCTTGCCCACTACAAAACACTCAGGTGGCAAGTACCAATAGGTGCCAGCACCCTGCGATGTTAGGTCCATCCCGTACTCTGGGCTGTAGTTGTCATCGTCCATTATCTTGCTGAGACCAAAGTCTGTGATCTTGATCTCTCCACTTAGACTGCCACTTCCCAGGAGGATGTTACCTGCACATACATTATTGAAGATGCAATGACCAGACAAAAGAAAATCACCATTACAAATAAAAGAAGAAATCAACAAACTCTTGTGCTCATAAGTGGCTTCACAGACAAATTCACAGACACCAACCTAACACCCAAATGCTAAATTCTTGTAATAGGAACACTACTGTAATGCCAGAACCACAAATGTTTGCTCAAAGCATTGAGCGATTTGTTCTTTGTACCACCGCAAAAAATGCTACCCATAAGAATACGATCGCAGCAACGTCAGGAAAAATTATTCGGCATGCCAGAGATAGCTGTGGCGTGTTTTTTTGGCATGGGACCATGAGTAACGGGGAAAAAGAAGAAAAAGAAGAGAGATCTCCAGTTTCATGTGCAGAGCTTCAACATTCAGTTTGTCTCTAGCCAAGCTACAGCATGCTCCTTCACGGCACCATGCAATCGGCGCACTCCAATTAGTCTGGTTATCGCATCTTCTCATGTAAAATCGCCACCGCAGACTACAAACCGTGGGAGACAGAAGAACACATACCAGGGTCGCATAGCTTCCTTCCTTGCATTATCATGAAGGCATGCCATGAAGCCACCTTGCACTTCAAAATTTGTGTACAGCCTACACCCCTGGTTTTAGCTCCAAATTTTCTGTATATTTTGCGCACGTTATACACGAGAAAGTGTGTTCTCATGGTGTGTGGCCAAGCACATCTGCACTAGCGGCAAGTCAATGCAAAAGATAACGCATGCACGCAAATACCCAAGAACAAGTCATGATAAAATCTTTCAAACTTTTGTGGTGTATACATGAAATTTCACAACAACCAAATTCCGCGACAATCAACATTTTCGTGCGTGCCGCCATAAGTAGCGGTATTTGACTGTGCAAGTATGGCTGCCGACGTCTAAAAGCTCAACAGGTAATAATTCAGAGCTGCTCATGACATTGCTGTGGCCCCGAGGAGCAGTAAATGATAATAAATGATAATATATGCTAGCTTTCTTTTTGATGCATGCTAAACTTTCCCTATTTCCAAATTATGGATCATACAAACATCGGGTGAACCCACGACATTGGCACCACCGAGGCTTTACAGTGTGCAGTCATTCATCCCGCACCACTAAATGACCAAGAATTGCATGAGAAATCGCTAAACAGCATGCCCGTATTTTAGCATGTACACTCCAACCTCGACATAACAAACACAGTTATAACAAATTATTGGTTATAACAAGTATCTGGATATAATAAAGCATTTTCACAACACATGTGAGTTTGTTATAATGACTTAATTGTATTCTAATCTCTCATGGAGTCTCAGGGCCATTTCGAGGCGAATACTACGTACACTATTCACAGGAGTACGTTTGAAGCTACGCAACAGTAAGAAGATCCGCTTACAAGTCAGATGCCACATAAGACTGCCCCGACAAGTCGTGCAAGGGCTCGACAATCACTAACCCGGCTTGAGGTCGTAGTGTATGATGGGTGGCTTGATTTCATTGAGGTACTTGAGGGCGTGCACCACCTGCATGACGATGCAGCGTGCTTCTCGCTCGGGGATGCACTTGTGCTGCTTGAGGTAGAAGTCCAGGTCGTGCCCGTCACAGTACTCCAGCACTGTGCAAAAGCTGCTCAAACGACACAAAGCAGAGGACACAATGTGAGAGGCCCCACGTGCAAGAGACGCTAATCTGTAGAAAGAGAATATGCACACACACACAGAGTGAAATGCAAACTATTTAAAAAGGCATTTAACTGGAATGAATAGAGTGGCGAGATCAAACGACAGTAGTAACGCTAGAAAAAGGGCCCACACATTTCCCTCAGTTACTTCCATGATGTACCAGAGGCCCAAGTTTATAATGACTAAGTGCTCAAGCATCTTAACGTAACTTATAGTCGTCACGCCCTCTTGTCTTTTCAAAAGAGGTAAATCAACAGGACTGCTGTTAAGGGCTGAAAGTGCACTGCCTAACAAAAGGTTTAGCAGACGAACATTAGTGCCACAATGTTCCTGATGTCTCCCGATTTCGTATTAAAACTCACGTTTACATCAGCGACCCTCGGGCACGAAACAGACACAACTTGCATTTACAAGCACATCGTACATTCTTCAATTGAAGGCTGTTCCTTACATTTTGGGATATTGTTCTGGCTTGAGCAATACAACAAACGAGTTATTTATGATGAAAAGAAGCATAAATTTAGTGATTGTTTTCTTCGGTAGACACAATATTAACGAGAACTAACAGATAACGATGCTAAGAAAAGTATAGGAGTTGATATTAGTAGAAATTGTAATCTAAATGTGAAGAACGAAAAGTGGACGAACAGGTAATTTGCCGTCTGCAGAGACTGTACCTGCGACCTTCGTACAACGCACCCCCGATGCTCTACCAACTGAGCTACGGCAGTGGTCATCCCTCTTTTCACTCATAGGGTACACGTATGTGCATTCAAACTTGGGAGTGTCAGTCAGTGCCGTCAGTAGCCATTTTGGCAGAAGAGGAGGACTTTTATCTTTTCACATGAACATTACAATTAAATAACATCCCCTACACTTTCCTTGGCATCATTGTCTGTTCTCATAAAACAAGTTATCTATGTCATAAAATGTCCTAATTAAGAAGCAGGCACCCCTTATGCATAAAAGCTCATCGCTAATTTCCTACGCTTCATGTGACAGGGCATTTAGTCTTTCTTTGCTCAACCGTAGCTCATTCACCAATAAGGAATGTTTCCCTACAAGCTGCGACAAGTTGCACTGTATGAAAGAATACAAAAATGAATTTCGCGCACTTTACGGCAAAGCTCAAAATAATTTTCAAAAAGGCTTACACAAAACGTTGTGCCTACGTTTTTTCGCAAGGAAAAATGTGCTCTCAGACCAACAAATGAAACTAAAAACAAAACAACCCTTTCACGCGACCTAGAAATATGATGATGCACGATGCAAAATCTTTCTTGTTAGTGCCTTTCTTTAGCCACAACCTGCAAAAGGTAGCAAACGCAGTGCAACGATAGTCCTTGATGCCCAATTACTCCGGTCGAAGCCCTTGAGTGTCACTGAAATGCCCCTTTGCTAAAGCATAAAGTAAGGGATTGGAGTGGCTACTTTGCTAAAGCCAAAGGTCACAGCAAAGTTATACTGTGACCATAGTAAATACTGTAATTTTCTCCAGTCTCAAAATGATTTCTATCACGGCTGTGTCGGGCATAGCTGACAGCTGTAGCAGTCAATACCTTAGCGTTACTTTTGAGAATGCCATGATAGATTTCAAACAAAATTCGAGTGCACATAATGACAGCTTACCCCCCACAAGATGAAAACCTGAATAGTAGAAACGAAGAGAAAACAGAAGGCACAAATCGCTACCTGTAACATCTTTCACACATACATATGTAATCATGAGGCCACCTAAGTTGTGAATGGTACTTACGAATTAGGATCTATTTCGAAGACATCGTAAAGCTTTACAACCCTCGGATGGTCTAAGGACTTGTGAATGTTGTACTCCCTTAATGCATGCCTAGAAAAGAAGCAAGCACATAAAAATGACTTTTCTACAGCCTCTAAGCGTATCTCACAAGCGCACAAAAAGTACCACTTTTTATCTGAAGGACTGGCACCCTAGCCAACTCACAATACACTTACTTGATGTAGTTTGCTTTCTTGTCATCCTTCCAGTCTTTGTTAAGCTGGTGTATTTTACACGCAACGTACCTCTGTTCCTTAAGGTCGAACGCCTGCAAATGAGCATTACAGTGCATTGAATTCAGTAAGAAAAAAGAGAAAAAAAAAAACTGCAAGTGCAAAGAAGAAAAACCAGGTGTCAAAAATGTGCTTACCTTGTGTACTTCACTGAAGCCACCTTTGCCCAACAAAATTAGTAGTAGATACCTCTCATTTAGGACTGGATGGTTGTTGAACCTGGAAGATTGCACTCAAGGTTAGGATAAAGTAACTTACACACTTTTAGTCATGTCAAAGAGAATGAAGCAGCGACTAAAAACATCACAATCTTTTCACTGCTTTTGGGGTTCGAGAAAAAAAAAACAGTCGTTTCATATGTAATACTTTGCAGTGCTTAATTTCTTTTTATATTACAAATGGTACATCACACGTATAAAGCTAAAAGCCCAGCATTAAGGTATGCCAATACAAGAGGCACTGATACAACAGACACCGGGGTGCGTAAAGTAAAATACTGGTTGACAATAAAATTCCTACGAGGTACCCTGTTTGTAAGAGACATTCTCATATAAAAGACAAGAATTGCTGCCTGGAGCATGCCTCTTATAAAGAGGTTTAAAAAACCAATCAGTTAGTCTCTTCATATGCATCTATGAGTATCAACTCATTTCATTTTACATTCATAAATACCTTAAAGGGCAAATATCTGACAACAGTTTTGGTGAAAGCAACTGCACCATCCTATGCTTATTCTTGTGATCCCACCCCTGAAATGCCGCATTTACTGCACGAAAATGTCACCATTCACAAAATGTCAACAAGACTAGAAGCAACTTTAACAACAACAACCTGCGTCAGAAACGCAAGCCTAACAGGCTCACCGTCTGTACCTGGACTGGTCCTCATTGTGGATGCGCTTGAGCTCCCTAATATGCAGGTTTCGCTCCCGCTCCAGTTTCTCCAGCTCGAGCTGCAGGTCGGTGTCCTCCTTTTTCAGCGACACCTGCCGCAACTTCAGGATTTCCTCTTGCTCGTAGTACTCGTACCAGGACAACCGCAGGAGCGCCAGGTCCTTGGGAGACTCCGGCTTGACAAACTCCCCATTGGCCAGCCCACTAGAGGCTGCACCGGTCCCGTTGTTAGACCCCACTGCCCCCTTGCCTTTGGGCTGCCCCGTCGTGGGCTTCTTTTTGCACAGCAGCTTTCGTTGTCGTTCGATTTCTTCCCGCTCTGACGTGATCTGCTCCTGCTTCCTGTAAGAAGTGGGCACCAAGACAACAGCTCGCACTCTTTTACCGGAAGTATTGAAGACACAAAGAATGCATAATGTGTAGGCAACACCACAAAACACATTGTCACAAACGACAGCAATTTTCACCTCGCCCGCGCGCCCCATCGTCCAAGGAATGATGCTTTTGTGTTGGGAGGGCGACATCCGGCGACTAACGACGCAGCAGTGGCGGCGCCGCGTCTTCCCTACACCTGTACCAAAGGGGACACACGTGTTCAGAGAGAAGGAAATCACCTCTAGAGGGTAAGGGAGCACGCATACGCCCGAGAAAGTTTTGACTTCTTCGGGATGGCAGTTGATGTGCAGCCAGCAAGGAGTGTGGTCGTCGGTGTCACGAGGCTCGCGCAGGCGACGAGCATGGAGTGACCCGCGCAACGTATTGAGACGGCTGCAATGCCAAGCACCCTCGTCGTCTACTAAGCTGGTGAGTTCTTCAGCGGCACCCGTCAACTACCCTACATGTACCAAGAGCTGGCCTGGTCCGTATGGAACTTTTTATTGTGATTTTTTTCAATTTTTATTCTATTTTCACCAGCTTTTAAATTATTGCAGTTGTGTGTGCTGCATCGCACGCAGAAATTCCGAAGTGCGAGCATGATGCTTTCGTAATTATTTCTTTGTATCTCTTTTATTTCCATCATGTTGTTACTTTATTAGCATTTCACGTGTGTGTGTTTTGTTTGTACCAGTTGTAGGTTTTTTAGAGCATATTTTGTTATAGCTGTTCTTTCCATCGCGCGTATTAGTGTTGTTTCCTCTCTGTTTTATTTTGTATTCTCCTTGCTAATGCCTTTGTTTTAATTAAATACTTGTTTGTGTTTAATCAAATATCTGTGTCTGCTCTACGAGTGCATCGGTCAGGCCCACACATCACCACACGTGCAACCCCTCACAGGTCGACCAACCTGCAAATAAATTTGAAATGTGCCACTTCGAGGCCATTGAGGCGTCGCAGCCTGAAGCGTAAAGCGGAAGCCTGCGAGTTAGCCGCACGTCGATGTTGGATCGGCGAGGCCTCACCTGAAGTGCGTGACACACGACAATCTTCGTGTTTGTCTGACGACTCACATACATCAAAAACATACCCCGAGTCAAAGACATAATTCAAGACTGAATTTCTCCAGCCATTTCATTAACTCACATGGCTTCAACAGAGAAGCAAATTCGGAAGGTAAAGTATTCATCCCAGATTTTCATGCTCCAGTGCCCAAGCTAAACAAATCGGAAAAGAAACATTAACAGTACATTCAGTAAAATATAGATAAACAATACATACCTCAATAGATCGTTGAAAGCGTAGCCGTCTACCCAGTTTTCAACAAACGATGCCCCTTGCCGCTGTGTCACAAATTGACCTAGCCTTAGCCTGTTCTGCATGCATTTCTGCCGAGACTGCTTCTTTTCCATTGCCGACTGCAAAAGAAACCAGAGGTTATTATTTTTTTTCCCTCTTGTTGTACAAGTCACAAAGGCAAACAATGACTTCTGTTAAAATGTTACATGTACAGAAAAACAACAATTTCATACATGGTAGGGCAGCACTCAATACCAGCTGCGATGCAGTATCTGTAGTTGTGGTGGCCTTAATACTTCCTAACAGAACCAATTAACAAAAATTGGCAAGAAAAGCACTGTGCTGATATTTGTATTTTGTAAGCTCATTCAGCATTCACTGCTGTGAAGCTCTTCACTATCAACAGCAAATATAGCTTGGAAGGTATTTTAGAGCAACTATGAAGCTCGAATATTGAAGGTACCGACACCACCTAAAGGGACCCTTTGAGGACCCCCTCACTTCTCTCACATCACCCCGCTGCAGTCTTAATAAAACAAGTTATGATGACGTCATCGCCACCATTTTCTTTTGCCACATTTGTTCCAGCATTATATACTTCTCCGAAACATGACCTTGCTAAAGTCAAAGTTCTATGCGTTGACAGTGGTTGAGCCCAACAGCCAAGGTTGCTGCCTGAACACAACTATTAACTGTGAACGCCAAGTGAACAAAGCATGCTCAAGCAAAATATGGTGGATGAGCAATTAGAACTATATTAGAACTGATTTAGGTAAGCAATGACTACATCAAACAGTAAAAGAAACAAAGAAAAAGAGTGAGAGCAGGAGAGGGAAAGCTCACCTTTTCTATAAGAAGTTGCTTTGTAACATCTATACACTTGAGGAGTTGCTCCTCTTGTTTTTGTATTAGTTTCTGCTGTCCCTGAATTTGCCGCCGCAGTTCTTCGCTACCCTGCAAAGCATACGGGTGCAATAATTACGTGACCATACCAAAGACACCGCAAGTCTTTATGTGCAGTTGAGGAATAGGAAGGAGTCTCTACTCCTTGTGGTTTGGACAAGCCCAATTTGAAGCCCAAAATGCTTCTGGTGCAGAGTTCATGTGCAACAGTAATAGAAAGCACTAAAAGTCCAACAGTGCAACTTCACAGCATAATACCATGTTGACATTAATGCGGAATCAATCTTCCTAGGTTAACAGAAATATGTACTTCTCCAAGGGAATTGGTAGGCTATAACAAAACTCATGCCAAGGTAAAGAAGTCACCAAATGACGTCCACACATAGCAATTGTTTATAGCACACCAGTAGTGCAGTAGCCTGTGAAATGGAGCAATGTTGAAGGGAAGACTGTGTGCAACATCATCCTGGAGAATAGCAATTTTTTTTTAGCGATGTGGAAACATTTATTTTTGGGCAATAAGCATAGAAGAAAATATTCCTTTTGGAACAAGTGAATAACACAACTAAATGGTTGAACAGTTATGACTCCTTGGTATAAATGAACAAAATATATCGGTGCGAGAACTTTTGTCCTTTGAAGGTGCAGTAATGAAGCATCATCACAAAAATTGAAATAAAACTCACAAGGCCTCTCTGGGCCCTCACTGTTTGTAAAAACTGTTTGTTACGGGCCAACTTTAATTAGTAAGAAAATGTTTAATGCCATAGTTGGGCAAAACCTCCTTTTGTAAACAGCTTTGTCAAGTACATATGAACTGTGTGCTTTCTGGATGGTTCACCTATATGCAATGTGAAAAGCTGTGAAGTTTCGAAGAAACGAAAAATCCCACAGTGCTGCATAAACTCACCCTTTGGAGTTCATCTATCCGGTTGTCCCTCATTTCCAGGTCCATGGCCGATTTGCTCTCCAGCTCTTTGATCTTGTTGATGGTGAGATCTGTCTGGACCTGCCGCATCATCACGTGTGCAGGCCTCTGAGGTGGTGCCATAAGCCCTGAATAATCTACACTATTCAGTGCAGATGTTAACGGGGACACTAGTGGATTGCCACCCTGGAAAAAAAAATGGTGCAGTGAGCGTGCTGAGACCTCCCGAAAAAGGGGCAGCTAAAATTGACCGGCGACAGAAATGACAGCTTCCGAGATAGGCATGAGTCCGCAAGTGGGGAAATCGCATGCAATCAGAGCACATACAAGAAAGACCATGCACAGTCATGAATGCTTATTGCAATAGGCACAAAACACTTAGCAGGTCTGAAACATTCACAATATTTAACTGCAAAGATTGAATGCACAGTACATAACATGAACAAAATTAACATCGTGTAGTATCTATATGTCAAGTGTAGTCACAGTCAGCATCCTGTTCTTCATTAAACGTCCTCATAGCACTATACAAGCTCTATTTAGCTACTAGGCCCACTGCACTGAAAGGCAGCGGATGGCTGCCCTGAATGGCAGTAAGCCAATGCTTAAATTAAAGCATGCACAAGAATATAAGGCAAGCAAAGATGCAAATTAATATGCTAAATATGGCCTCATGAGTCTTGTGTACTACACTTTAAAAAAGTTTTTCAAATCCACTGATTGCAAACCTCAGTAAACCACACGAGCCACTTACTACAATAGCAGAGCTTTAGTGAGAAATGCATAGCCCATAAGTTTTGCAAAAGTAGAGGCAAGACAGAGGTGGACATGTACTATCAGCGTCAAATGAAACCCGAACAGCAGCAATCCTTTGCGATCGTATAGTCCAGTTATCACAATTGACATGCACGCGCATCCTGTTTGGCAGCTCTGCCCATATATGTATGCCAGTTTATGGTGATAAGTGGACGTTGCGCACTATACCATCACAAAGGCTTGCCCGACATTTAGAGATACTTTTTCAGTTCCGTAACTCCGCCGCCGCAGGCGGCCGCCGGTTTGACCCGGGCAGCGAGAGGACGCCACAGTCGCGAGCAGAACTGTCGCAGGCGTACACAGTTGCTTGGCCGCGTGCGCGGGCGTCATCGCGATTTTTTCATTTTTTCGCTCGCAACTGTGACTCCGCGCACAAGTGGTTATCCTAAACGACTTCAATCATCTTTGAATTGTGGCGATCTAGCACTACCGGCCACAGGACGTCTTGGAGCTGCCAAGCTTTAAGATGCCAACTTGATTCGTGCCTGGCTGCACCAACGGCACAAAAGCAATAAAAAAAATCGGCACTTTTTTGTACCGCTATCCAATCCGCAGCTGCTTGAAAGATGGGTGAGAGCTATTCCCCGCGCCGGTGAACTTCTGAGCAAGAAAGGTGTGTAACATGCATTTTATGCAACATGACATAGAGAAGACTTAAGCATGTCATTGACAGCTGGGTTGTTGAAATACACCAAAAATGTTGGGCATTACAAGCTGAAGCCGTGCCGTATCTATATCCGAATGTTCCAAGCTATTTGTCAAGAACGATAAAGAGGTGGCGGTCGCCAAAGGATAGGGCCAGCTTACCCAACAATGTCGTACTTGTTGCTACGCCACCAGTAGAGTACCAGCAAAAGGTTCCTGATCCCATGTACAGCATTAATTTCGCACAGATTATTGAAAACGACTCATCTCTAAAGCTTCCGAAAAACTGGAGAATGGTGGACCTTGAGGAGGACACTGGTAAACCTCGGCAGGTTGTCTTATACAACGCGGGAATGAAGGACGATGTTTACGCGATCCTGAAGAGCGTCGCGATTGACAAGGACCTTGCACATGTCATCCATGCAAATGGAAGACTGTTGCGCAGCTCGGATGCAGAAATAAACATATTTTCTGCGCGAGATGCACAAGCGATTATAAAAACTGTGCATGCAAAACAATTTCGCCATGATTGCCCTCTTATCGATGTCACCAACTCCAGCGGAGTGACAAAAAAAGTTGTAGGTGGACTTCATCACAACGGTGGCACTGTTCTGACTGATGCAGATAAAGAAGTGTGTCCTGCAGAACACGCTATAAAGCATGCTAGCAAAGGTGCATGTTTTGGTGACTCAATTTGAGATGTGCTGGATGCTCTAGTAAAAAGAAGCACAAATATTGTTGGCTGTTCCGAGCATGCCAATCAGTTTACTACTCATACAATTCACTTTTCTTCAATAGCTCGTATGCACTCCTTCACACGGGCCAAACGCTTAGAGAACCCCAGTGCCGTTCGGGCACGGAGACAGCGCAACCAGGCAAAGCTAGTTTAACAAACTTCTTTACATTAAACCTGTCGACAATTCAGTCTCATATGTACACATGTGTAAATAAAGTTTTACTATTAATTTTGAACCCCAATAATCTGTGTTTGCTTTTACCTTGTAATATGTTAACGTTGTCGCCAGGCATGTTTCACTAACTTTACAAAAATGTAGGTTGCTTGGAGTTTTGAAAGGCCTCAATGTGTAGTGTCCTTTAGTACAATGCAAGGTTCATGAAAACGTCACTTTAGCGATGTAGCACATATTATGCATCAGACTATTCTCTTTGCTAGACATCATTCTTTGGGCTGTAAAATGAATCCACTGTAATTCCTGCAATGAAATGTGTATGTCAGTTTTGATCAATTGGTGATGTGCTTTCCCATCGCAAAAAAAAAAAAAAAAAAGATGAATAACAGTGTTTCATTCATCCTACGAAATTTACTAGTCGCCAAGTTCTTATGTTATGTAACCCCGAGTGCATTGTGTTTTAGATTCGTATTTTTTTTTAGCATGCTCAACTGTAAACTACTGATGTGGTCTTGATGCAATAGACACAGGAAGGTGCAGGGTGAAGCGAGAACTTTGTCACTGCGTAAAACGAATGCTTGCAAAGTACAGGCCCCGCCACAGTGGTCTAGTGTCTAAGGTACTCGGATGCTGACCCCCAGGTCGCAAGATCGAATCCCGGCTGTGGCGGCTGCATTTTTGGTGTAGGCCTGTGTGCTCAGATTTGGGTGCACGTTAGAGAGCCCCAGGTGGTCGAAGTTTTCGGAGCTTTCCACTACGGCGTCTCATAATCATATGGTGGTTTTTGGACGTTAAAACCCAAATATTAAAGTACATACAGGTTTTTTCCCCAAGTTCGTGAGTCATACAACACACATGACTTATAAAGCACGTGGCCTCTGTTGAATAGCGAGAGTAAAGACCAAGTACACTGCACAATTCTCGCTAGGGCACACGCAAAGGCTCAAGCGACAGCCTTCACGCTAGCAGACGACTCTCGCTCTCACAAGGCGACTGCAGCACTGTGGTGGCGGGTGCGGCGACCGGCCATCTTTTCTCTAGGTGCGCCGCGAGGAGTTGTGGAACTGAAAAAGTACTATCTATAAACATTGGGCTAGCCACTGTTGAGGTTTCATTTGATGCAGATATAGTACATTATAGTGCCGATTCGTTTTTGCTAAGAGACAAAAAAAAACAGGTGGTCCAGTCACTGACATGCACCCCTCTTACCTGGATAGGTATTATGAATAAAATGACAGAGAGACAGAATGCTAAGTGAAGTCCCCCTGCTGAACAGGTAGAAAATTTGTGCATACTCAGCAGTTAAAGTGAGCGTGACTTGAGTAGCATGGAGTGAATTTTTTTCAAATTCTAACTAGAATTGTGATTCCCTGTCCACAAGGAAACTGCAATGCAGCATACTTTGAAAACTTCACCACACATTTCTCTTTACTTTGCAAAAAGCAATCACATCACCAGAGGGTCATAAGTTAATGTGCTGCAGTCACTAAAATAGAGTGCCAAGAATTTTCACATCGACAACCTGCCAAGAAAAATGAAAAATGGGAGGCAAGGCAAAGCTCGCAGAATACAGAAGAGCCCACAGCCTTCACGAGACTCGGGAAAGAAAATTGTGGTGGTGTTTTCGGACAATAAGAAACGAGCAGAGAGGAGCGCAATTGTGATGATTAAGTGCAAAACGAACCGACCTATATGCTAATGTTAAACAATGGGGGAATGCATAAGGCAAGTTGATGAGAAGTGAGAAAGTGGAACTGGCAGTGACATGACGAGCGCGACGACACATACCAGGCAGTAGCCCTGAGGGACAGGCGACCTGGCCCCTCCAAAGCGGCTGGGGCTATGCCCCTGGTTCTGAGTGCAAGGCAAGGAGAGAGAGAGAAAGAAAAAAAAACAAAAGGAAACCAAAACTCTCCATCAGATTTCCTCTCGATAAGAAACATTCTCGCGCACTCATTGCAACATTTACCTCAACAACGAGACGTGTTTTTATACCTCAATTCGCGTGCCTAGTTCTGTTCTTATCGCGCACAGTAGACTTCCGTCAACTAGACTCAGGTTTGCCTGGTTCGCTATCGAAAATTCAGGCCAACATCGAACACAATTCTATGGGACCAAACTTTCATTATTCTGTTCCTGAGTAGCCCTTGCCGAATAACCGAAACCTGGCCGGCCATCAGACACGCATCCAACTCTAATGGTGACTACAATAATGGCCACACTAGCAGCAGCGATTGACTTAATTGGGGTTCGGGAACAAATGTGCCAAAAATGCGTCACACCTCCGTGAAATCACCCAATTCTTTATTTGCCTCCAGGAAGACAATGCAAAAATGGTGGCTTGCAATTAATTACTACAACATTCACAAGATTATAATGTGTGCTTTTATCTTATTTAGAAGATTACTTGAAAAATTCCTCGGCCTATGCAGCCTGAGATGAAACTAAAACTGCATGTACAATGACATAGAGTCATACCAGAAAGGACTAGCGAAGTAGTTATTCTAGTGTTCATGCAGACTGCCATCTTATTCGCGATGGTTGAGGAACCAATTAACAAATGCAGAACATCAACTGCAAAATCAATTGTAAAGAGGATGAAGGGTTGCTCAAAGCAATAAAGTACTTAGAAAATAAATATTTTAAAGCTCACGTTTCAAGGTTACACCCTTTTCCTAATGCCAAAAATCAGAGAGACGCCTTTTTTCTTTGCTAATAAATCAGGCCTGTGTTCAGGTTTGCACATGGTTTAGGCATACAAATGTAATTTCGAAGTTAGTTTTCAACATTGAACATACAGAATGATGCAGAGTAGAACACTCTCTTAGGCTAGTTCCTGCATTTTATATTTAGTGCATACTTGGTGAAAAATCAATTTAGTGCAAATAAAAGACAGACCCAATCCTTGTGTTTGGACACGTGTCTTTGCAGGCATCGTTTCAGTGTGCATCTTCATTTGCTCTGATTTGACGTTAAAATGGGGCAACTTTTATTTGCTCGTGAAATGGTCAAATACTGACTGACATATATCAGTGGCGTATTCCTTTTTGCTTTTTTTCTTCTGCTTCTTCCCTTGACCTATTGTATATTTTTACTGATGTTGTTGGTTCACTAAAGGTCGAATTGACGAAAGTCAACTGCATATAAACTGGTTGCATTAGCTTGAAAAATGCATTTAAAAAAAGTTGATGCTGATGTTAACATTTAGGCAACAACAAAAAAAAAAAGGTTTCACAAACAATTTTTGTGGATGACAATGCAGTGCTTGCTTTCAAGCATATCTCTCTATAATCTTTGACAGCAGGGCTGCACAACTTAAACGAGGCTTGAATCTAAGCCCATTTCCACAAGATACAATTTCTGCAGTGGCTGTTGAAACCATTCCGAAAGTACATCAGCGTACAAATGCACAGGGCTGCACAACTTAAACGAGGCTTGAATCTAAGCCCATTTCCACAAGATACAATTTCTGCAGTGGCTGTTGAAACCATTCCGAAAGTACATCAGCGTACAAATGCACAAAGGATTTATGCTTCAGGCCAAATCCTGTATGCATCAGCTTAGCAGACAACAAACAAGCATATCCATGACATGGACTGTGTGGTAGAAAGAGTGTATCACGCATAACATGCTGCGCATGTGCAATGTTTCCGACGATGGGTGTCAACGCGGCGCTGATAGAGCCGCCGGCCACGAACTCGCGTGTTCACCCTCGCAGTGCTCACCGCTGTACATGTTGTGCAGCCCTGCTTTTACACATTTATTGCAGCCCTGCTTTTACACTTTATTATTGTGAAGCCCTGCTTTTACACATTTATTAAACTAAATGACTAAATCGTTCGATGTTAACGTTTGTGGCACTCACAGAAAAATACAGACAACTCCAAAGGTGGACAAAAGACGTCAAACTGATAAGTACAACAAGCACAATGAACACTTGGACAAAGAATTCGAGAGCCCTATCACTGCCTGATACAGCGCACAGGCATCTTCCCAATAATATGTCACCACCCAAACCACAGATGTCACTTCTGCTTAAATTCAATGGCTCAACAATGGACATTCTGAGGACAGCTTAAATATGGATGCACTGACCAAGTTCATAATATCAATCTCGCAAGGAACCATACAAGGGTGTGTTTACTTCCGTGAGTCCCCTCTGTTTACACTGTTAGAAGCCTGTCTCCCATACTCTTTAGCGAGCTCACGTCTCAGTCTACAAAATGCAGAGAAAACAGGTGATCTACTTACCTTAAAGTATTCATTTATTTTCTTTGGGTTCTCGGGAACCGTTGTTCGAACTCCTTTTGCTAGGGGATAAAAAAAAAGAACATTCTGCTTATTCTACAGCCCCATATTTACCAGCATACAAATAATGTTAACGAAACAAGTGGGTTGATCATGCAGGGCACAATTCAGCCGCATTGAATTGAAAGCCATAACAGCGATGAGTTGCTTTTCTTAAATATAAAGTAGAGCTGTGCGAATACGAAAATTTCGTGTGCAAAGCAAATTCGAATATTGAAGCGTGAGCGCCAACGAAATCAAATGTTTCTAGAATATTTTTCAAATACTTCAAAACAAAATTGAAGAAAAAAAAGTTTGGGTGGATTCCTAAACGTAATCTTATAAGACAGCAACATGAAAGTGTTGGTTTTGACTAGGTTTATAAAGCGCTGACGGTGTGGTGTTTCATAGTTGTTATCAAGAATAAGGCAATGCAGAGGCCGAATTGTGTTTGTGTACATGATTTGATGCAACGAAAGTATTGCTGACAACACCATACACGTGAAAAGTAAAGGTGCCATTTCTTATGCCTCTACTCCTCTTTCAACTTCTGCTGTAGCCCAACTGATGTGTGAACCCTTGGAGTCTCGAGTTTCAAATCTCCTTTGTAGACATCAATAAATAAAAACATCTGAAGTTTTGAATGCTAAAAAAAAAAAATCAAAATTTTCGGATTTCTTGCCCAAACTTCAGGTCCAAAACAACCTTAAGTTTTCCCCCACCCCTCTGCCACCATCTATTATCTCAATTGACCATTGTTTTCATGAGTCAATTTATATAGAAACAGTAGCAGGGCCTGAAAGACTGCTTTGCCGTAATACGAGCATGGTGGGATGAAGCCTGTTGAAGATCTGACCACAGCCGGTCTGAGGTTGACAGTATTGGCCTTCGAGAAGTTTGAGCAGTTCGAATAGTAAAATTCCGGCACGAATCGAATAGCAAACACTATTATATAATATTCAAAATTTGGAGTATTCGCAAAGTCCTAATCACCCAACAAGGTTATCTCTTTAAAAATGTTTACAGCTTGCATGGCAAGTCAAATTTATTGCTACGATTTTAAAGGGTACACATTTCAGTTGGCCGGTTCACAACCAGAGTGGAAAAAGGACAGAGGAACAGGACACGAGAAGGGACATGCATGACAGTAGTGCTTTGATGGTCCAGCAGCTCACATGTCTCCTGTCTGGATGCAATGCCTCCTCTCTAACAAAAACACAAGCACAGACTAGTGGAGTTACATGATAAAGAAAAGATTCATAGTAAAATACAGCACGAAACCAAGAGAGAGTGCTATCTCTTCCTTGTTCTTGTACTGCACTGTATTATGAATGTGTACCAACACACTCATAGTTCACACGCTTCTCAAGAAAGAAGATGGTGAAGTGCTACAAAACGGAGATTTGTAATGTCACGACCCAAGCAGGCAGAGACGTTCGCAACAAGATACCTTTACAAGACTTGTTTCAATAAGGTTGCATGAGCATTGTGACTTGTGCCGAATCCACGCACTACATGGGCCACTTGGCCCCGAGCACCCAGCAATACGCAAGGTTTACACCGAACAAAAAGTTGCCGCAAAGAGCAAAATGTGGCTTTAATTACAGCTGTGCAGTCCTGTACACCTCAAAAATGTTAAGCCATAGAGTGCATGTATGTATGCCCAGTTACTAAAAAAAATAAGTTGTCATTATGACAACCATTGAAGTAAAGTTTAAAAATTAAGCTATCAAGGGGCATGATGAGGACTTCCCATTACTTTTTACTGCTGGGGAAGATTTCACCTAGGGAAACTCGACTTGCTGTGCGAGCTGAAGGAAAGCGAGAAAGGATACAGTTCTATTTGCAAGGCACTTTTGCTATTCAAAATATTTGAACATGACAAGCTCAATAAGAAACTATTGAAGTTAGAATAACTTATTGCAAATATGTGCTAAATTTCACAAACATTGATGCACGACTAGAGAACTACACAAACTACACCGAATACCAACTAGCCCCTCCAAAGCCCTTACCTAAATTCGCATCCCCCATCGAAGGCAAGCCTTCTTTAATGCCACAAGGACAGCAACATCAACGAACATTTCACTGGCTACGCAAGAAGGCCAGACAATAAAGTCATGCCATCCTATCTCGTGAAAGTGATCAAAGCTTCAATATCTTGCACCAACCGATGTTCACTAGCACTCTTCCGCATGGGAAGGTAACTGTATTTATACAAAAGTTTAGAAGAAAGGCTTTCCTACTTTTGCCAGTAGCAAAATCAACATTGTTCAGGTACCTCCAGTTGAAGCAGTGTCTTCTTTCGTCCGTTTCCTTTTCCGTTCCGACGGGGGAGGTGTCCTAAGGTGCTTTTCCGGTGTTTGAGACTGCAGAGGTGTCAATATGAAAATTGCCCATTAGGAATCTGATTTGAAGGTCCGGCTTCACGCACTGCAAAAGAACACCCCACAGCTTTGCGCTCTTTAACAGGCTCATGACACATTTAGAGAACCCTGCCACATTTCAAGATGTCTACCGAAGCTTCCCGTCACTGCTACAGCGCTGGAAAATACAGGGGCAAGATCACTGCAGCAAATGGAAATGAGTTCTCTAGAAACATGCTTAAATAATACATACTATAGTCGGATACAACTTACGAAGTCTGATTGATTTGATTGATATGTGGGGTTCAACGTCCCAAAACCACCATATGATTATGAGAAATGCCGCAGTGGAGGGCTCCGAAAATTTTTACCACTTGGGGATCTTTAACGTGCACCCAAATATGAACTTGCGAAGTGTGAGAAGGCCCTGCCCCTCATATGACTGTAGTGCGGCAGCCAATCAGCTCCGTGACTAAAGATATAATACCACACAAGCAATTGACAATGTCCTCATAAAGCCAGGTCCTATAAGCCGTTCGGCCTGTGATGAAAGTCTAGAGTGTGCCCGCATAGGTGCAGCCTTGTATGCATCCACCTTTGAGGAGCAAACAATGCAGACATCTAATGCATTGCCTGTCTATAAGATATGTCTCATTAAAACGAAGGGTACCAATTTTTCAAGACCACTAACATCATTTCAATCCATAAGAAAGGAGACGTCAATGACTTGAAAAATTACAAGCAAATCAGCTTATTGTTCATTTCCTAAAACTATTTACAAAAATAATAGCTATTAAAATTAAGGGAGCATTAGAGTTCAATCAACTGAAAGATAGAAGCAGGATTTCGTACAGGCGACTTGACAAAAAGGTGTTTCACTCAGTTGAGACATCAGCAGTAAGTAATACAGGCACTATGGAATCGGGGCATCGATGAAGCCTACATAAACACGCTGGAAGAAATATACAGTGGATCCACAGCCACCATACTTCTCCATAAAGAAAGCTACAGAATCCCAATAAGGAAGGGTGTAAGGCAGGGAGACACGATCTCTCCAATGCTATTCACCGTGTGTTTACACGAGGTTCTCAGAGCCCTTGATTGGGAATAGTTAGGGATTAAGAGTTAATGAAGAGTATCTTAGCAACCTGTGATTTGCTGATGACATTGCCTAGATAAGTAACTCAGGGGAAAATTGCTGCTCATAATTACTGAACTGGACACGGAAAGGAGAAAAGTAGGTCTGAAAGAATCCAAAGAAACGAAAATGTATCAAAAATGCAAAATATGCACAGCTGTCTCACCCCTGACCATATGATTACGAGAGAGGTTGTAGTGAAGGGCTCCAGAAATTTTGACCATCTGGGGTTCTTTAAAGGGCCACTCACCAGGCCCCATACCGAATTTTAGTTAGACAGTGGAAGTTGTTGGGTGTTCGATGAGGAACGTTTTGCCACAAAATTTTTCAAATCGGTTCATCACGAGCGCACAAAACGGGTTTTTTGAAGCGGCACGAAACCAGGATGAGAGGAGGCGAGCTCAAAACCCTTGCCGCTCCTCTGTGTAACCTTCGCAAGCCAAACTCTTTCCCACCCTCTCCAGCATCCAACCATGAGGTGACGTGTGCATGATGTGCCCAAACAAGTTCCACCCCCGAGCACGCGAGCAGCGTTGCTTTGTTGATCAGCGTTATATTGTGGTCTTGTGCCTGCTTCTGCGGGATGGTTTGGAAACGCTGGCTTAGACGCGATAGAGTGGATGAGCACAATGAGTGCGCGAACGCGTAGGAGCGTACAACGGCAGTCGTCTGCTCAATGCGCTGACCGCAGGGACACGAACGCATGCGAAACGCTGGCACATTAGCCCCTTATCTCGTAGCATTTCACAAGAAAAAAATGAAAGAAAAATGCGCACAATTTTTTATTGCGTCTCATTATTTCAAGCTTTATCAATCACTTAAAGAAACAAATAGATAAACTACGCATGTTGTGTTAAATAATTTTTGCCATGTCACGTGGCATACTGTTGACGACGTCAGAGTCGTCTACGTAGAGGACCAACGTCATTGCATTGCTGTGTACGTAGGGCCATTCATACGCCCACGTCATGCCCTCATTCTCTAGGCGTGTGCCGGCAGAGGGGAGGGGGAGCAGCGTTCATCATGAAACTTGACCCATTTCCGCGGCGTGTAGCGTTGAAAATTTCGGCAGACGTGATCATGAATGCCTCTTTTACGCATTGCGCTTGTCAGCTCAAAATTGTCAAACCTGGTGAGTGGCCCTTTAACGTGCAACCAAATCTGAGCACAGGAGCCTACAGCATTTTTGCCTCCATTGAAAATGCAGCCGCTGCAACCAGGATTCAATCTCGCTACCTGCGGGTCAGCAGCCGAAGAGCTTAGCCACTAGACCACCACGGCGGGGCAGGTTTGAAAGTTATTATGCACAAAACTAAAGTAATGTCCAACAGTCTCGGCAGAAACCAGCATTTTGTGATAGGTGAAGAGACGCTGGAAGTTGTACATGGGATAGGTAATAACCGCGGAGCCGAACCACGAGATTGAAGTAACTAGACGAATAAAAATAGGGTGGAGCACATTTGGCAAGCACTCTCAAATCTTGACAGGCAATTGCCACTATCCCTGAAGATAAAGGTATATAACAGCTGCACTTTGCCGGTACTTAGCTACGTAGCAGAGACCTGGAGACTTACAAAGAGGGTTCAGCTTAAATTAAGGACGACGCAGCGAGCAATGGAAAGAAAAATGATAGGTATAACCTTAAGAGACAAGAAGAGAGCAGAGTGGGTCAGTGAACAAACCGGGGTTAAGGATATCATAGTTGAAATCAAGAAGAAATTGGCATGGGCTGGGTGCACATCACGTAGGCAGGATAGCTGCTGGTCAATAAGGATAAATGGCTAGATTCCCAGAGAAGGCAAACAAACGATGGAGACATAGTTAGGTGGGCCAATGAGATTAAGTTCACAGGTATAACGTGGCAGCAGAAAGGAAAAGACCAGGACGATTGGCGGATTCATAGGAGAGGCCTTTGCCCTGCAGTGGGCGTAGTCAGGCTGATGATGATGTCTTAATTGAGTCTTTGGGGAGACTTTTTTTTAATGTACTGGAACATGCAACAATGAGATGAAGGTCATTTCCTATTGTGAGCTGTCAATTACTTTTAATGAATAAACTCAAAGTGTGCAATAGTGTTAAGTAGATGATGGTTACAAAAAAGTATTCACAGTGCTCTTTCTCAACAGTCCTAGAAAACCGAGAACCTGCACCATAAACGCGCACAGATGACAACAGACAGCGGCTTTATTTCCACTGCAATCTTCAATGCTGCCTGATGATATGATCACCTTTAACCAACTCATCCAAAGCATTCCCCACACCAGTAGAGCAAGGAACGGCTACTCTCAATGCTTGTTGTTCCAATTCTGTTGCTCAGTTTAAGTAAGTGATCAACATTATTTGCTGGTGTTCATGTTTAGTACGATGAAGAGGGTGCACGTGGAACCACGAAAAAAAGTTTCAAATCATTATTGTGACGACTCTATTCGGTGTCATTTCCATTCCATGGAAATGGCTCGATCGCCCTCAGACAGTGTTATTACACATCTACTCCCCCTGCCTTGCATATTAAGAAATGTGCCAAGAAGTACTGTACAGCACGCTGCTCCTACTACAGAAGAAAGCAGAGCATGCGCAAAGTCGAGCCAATGCGATTAGTGGCATACCTCGAGTTCTTTGTCAGAGTGCTGCGATCCAAGACTGGTGTTGCTCATGTTCGAGTCCTGGTTGTGATTGGTGTTGTTCGAGCTGCCCGAGGAGGACACGTGGCCCAGTAGCTGGGAGGCCGGCACGCCCGCCAGGGGCCCGCTCACTCCCGCCGCCGCCGCCGCCATTGCACCACCAGAAGAGGACTGCGATGTCTGACCAAGGTAGGCACCGCCCTGACCCAGGTTGCACAGTTGCTGCACCAGGGAGGGGGAGACAAGGTCATCGCGGGCCCAGTAAGCTTCCAAAGCGGTAAGCAGGTTTTGGAAGCAAAGTATGAGCTTCCAACGCTGTTAGGCCAGAGAGCATTTGAGACGGAAGGCAATAACAACAAGTACAGGTCATGCGTTGGCTGCTGGGCAGTGACTCACTCGATTCCCCAGAAACCGAGCCTCGAGCAATTCTTGTTTACGTGGGTCCAGACTATGGATGTTGTCCATTGTCTCAGGCTCCCACCTGTGCAATAAAAAAAAACAGAAGCGGTGTCGTGTATCAATTATTGTGGCAGTCAGCTACACACAAAGTGAAATACTCGCATGTTCAGACAACAGAGGCAAAACCATATTTACCCCACCCGCCCCCCATAGGGCGTTCATCGCACTTTGCACCCTCTTCAGCACGGGAAGTGCGCAGCTACAGCGATTAGCGACAACTAAGAAACACGTGTCACGGGGGGGGGGGGGGGGGGGCTTTCATCGGCCGGCTTCATATTTCGAAGGGCCAGGGGCCGGATCGATTCGAGAAGCGAGGAACAGAAGCGGCGGGCGACACTGGCCTGGCAAGCAAGCCGCTCCCATTACGGCGAGGCGGCCATGCCACATGAGCCGTGCCCTCCAACGCAGCGGCGGCTTCCTCCGCGGCCGATGCAGGGACGACACCCTTTCGACGCCATATCGGAGCTCACAGGTCACGCCTCCCCCCCACCTTTTTCTCTTTTTTTTTTCAGAGGGCATCCGCTGCGATAGCCACGCTGTCCAAGATTACCCCCCCCCCCCCCCTTACAATGTTTACAATGTTACTCTTTACTACAACTCTAAAACTAAGCGACAGTGCTGAGTGTGACATACAGATATAATTTACTATGACAAGGCGTCCTTTGCCCTCAACCATTTAGTCGACGAGTAAGGTCTTCTGACTACACGATGGTAGCCGTCCCGACCGTAATCTGGATGACTTTGGTACTTTTCCGCTCGTCTCCGTCACCGATAACAAGATCAAGCGATTGCACCATTGTGAGCTAAGATTCGCTTCGTGTTCGCTTTCTTTCTTGCCAATATATATATATATATATATATAGTTTTTGTTGGTTGCCCTGCAGCCCGATCGAGCACGCGCCACGTGATAAGATCTCTCGTTGCGGCAGTAATGCTGAACTGCACGCGTGTCGTCAGTCAAAGAAAATCTAAGCGCGGCTCACAGTGTCTTACAGTGAATGCCACGACATCGGCCTTCTATAGTACACTCCCTCCAAAACAAGAATGGCGTCTATATTTATTTCACCCTTTCACTCGAGACGCAAATGGCAGCACATAAAGCCAAGACTCAAAGTAAAACAAAAGTCATCGTAACGTATGGAAGTGGCCGCCGCCGAGTCAGTCACACCGTTTTTGAACCAAGGTCCTTATCCACTTCAGCAGAAGCGATCTACAGGTACCGCCCTCGCGTGGGCACTAATTTCGCCCCCCCCCCCCCCTCAGCTTTAGAAATGCACTGTATTCACACCCCACCCCCTCCGAGTTTGGAACGCCGCGGAAAGCATCACGAACCATTGCCACTTTTCTTTTATTCGGTGGCGGCCAGACGCCTCGAAGCAAGAATGGTAGCTGCGCAAGTCGGCGAGGGTGAAGACAAATGTGCGTGAGAGAGAAAAGCAGCAAAAGGAGGCCGCCGCTATGCCTTCCACATTGAGCGAGAGGGGCTCGGCGAGAGAAAAAGAGAACACACAGAAGAGGGAGAGAATGGAACGACGGCGGAGCACAAAGGCTAACGCGGGCGGCTGGAAAGCAGCTAACACCCCAAAGTTGAAAAAAAAATAGAAAGAAATAAGCCAGAAAATAAGAACACAACGTGCCTTCCTCCACCGAACCGAAGCCCCACGGGAGCGGCCGCCATGATGGCAGGAGCAGCAGCACACGCCGAGCTACGCGTCACAACAGGCGACCCAACATGACGACCCCTCCGGCAAGCACGCACAAACACCACCGGCGCAACGGAGCCAAGCGACGGGAACGCCGAAGAGCCGCAGCGGCGACCGCGTCACACACACGCCAGGAAGGAAGGCGATCCTCACGGTGCGAAGACGACGGCTTCTACGCATCCACCAGCTCGCTCGTTCGTTTCACGGCGCATTCCGAAGCGCACGACTGTTCTCTGGCGTACCGTTTCGCCCGAGCCAACCAACTCGGCCGTAGGGACAAAACGGGAGAGAAAGAACCGGCGCAGAATAAAAAAACAAGAAACAAAAAAGAAGCGAGCGACAGACAAGAGAGAACGAACGACGCGCGTGCGAGCGAACGATAGGGGGAAAAACGAAACGAAGAAGCGAGCGAGAGAAGAAATAAATGAACACACAAGCAAAACGAGAGGAAGCCGCCTAAACGCCAACGTCGCCTCCCTCGACCAGCGGCGGCGGCGTCCACACACACGGCGCTGTTGCGAGTGATCGAATACCAGCTAGCTAGGAAACCGACCGGCCACGCTCGGGCAGAAGAAAGGAGCCATCTTAAGCGAGATACTGCGCCAGCCCGTCTGCCTTCATTATTACTGCTGCCTATCCCACATTTTTCTTTTCGTTTCATGCCAGGCGGCGGATCGGATTAAGCCGCAGAAGAAATATCGCAATAAAAAGCGCCCACGCGCTAGCTACATACAGACCAACAAACGCGCTTCGCTGCCACGGAGCTCACCTACTCTCGGCATGTACAGTCGCACGTGCCGTGACGTAAGGCGGAGGTGACGACGACTGCGACCCGATGGAAACGAAATACATCACAAAAACCGCAGCGCTCTCTCGCTAAACACCTATGTGTAACCGCACTCCTCCCCTTCTTTTACGGTTTATCTCTCCCGGCTCCATAGCACTAGCGCAAAACGCAATCCTTCCTGCATTTCCTTTCATTTGCGCGCTGTTTCGAAGTTTCCCATGTTACCTGTGCTACTTAGAAACAGCTCGGAAAACGAAACTCGTACATGAATTTCGAAAGGAACCAACCCCAACACCGAGACAACACGCAGGCTCGGTCGATTAGGGCGGCTAAAGGTGAAATAACATTCCACCTCCCATGTCGAGTGTTTTTCACGGTTTGCGAAACGCGACCAACCCACGTCTATTTCTAGACTTCACGCACCCGGGCGGAGAAGCAACAAAACCGCCATCCGTCGGCTTTCACCAGCAGCACACTGGCGAATGACTTGACAGACAATGACAGGCAACGAGCATCTTATATGGCATCCGTAATGGCGTGGTAGCGGGCATAGAGTTTCTCAAAATTAACTAGAGGGCACTCTGGCACTACGATCGTTCAGCGACCATGGGAATGATGGGTAGTACACACATTTGCCTTGTCTTCGTACTTGCGGCTTCGTTTATTGCTGGTTACGGTTTTGTTTTGAAAGAAAGAACGAACCCTTTTGAACTTAGTGACTTGATTCAAAAAGGTAAACCTAAAAAATTAAGGTTGCGAAGTGCAAACGGTGAACCTTTGCTAATTTATGTTTTTGTGGAAAAACAACTCCAAGCCACACGAACACACACTGAGCCAGAAGCAGGCCAGAAGTACGAAAATTAGACAAATGTGTGTACTACCCATCGATTCCATGCTCGCTGAAGCGCCGTGCGTTGCAGCTCCCATAGACACTAGCGCCAGAGTTCCCTCTAGTGTATATTGGGAAACTCTATGGTAGCGGGGACTAGGTGCAAGAGGACGACAACGAACAAGACAAGCAACACCGCAATGCGCCAGCGGCCCTTTTGGCTTGTCGGCGTGACATGCTAGGCCAGCGATATGTCGTGTCATAAATACCATACATGCGAGGTTAATTGACCAATAGTGCAGACAATCACGTCTGTATTGAGCAATTACAACTGTAAACGCAGTGTGTTACACTGCGATTTATATTGGACACATTCTGCCCGATATTATAATACGAAGAGACACTTCAACCACACAAAACAAGTCACTCATTCATATTTAAAAAAAAATACAGTTTCCACACAACCGCTAAGTGATGGCCACAACAGATGAAAGGCAGGCGCGACAACACAGCAGCACTAGAGTTGGGATTACAAGCCAGCTGAACATAAATCGTCCAGAAAAAAAAAAAAAAAAAAGGTCTGGAGTGCGGCCTCACTGGCGGCCAGTTGCCGGTAATGCACGTCCTCACCAGAGCAGGATTGGCCACCCTGGCACGGTACTTGGCCACTGCCTCCAATGATTACAGCAATTAACCCTTGGCCTTCAGTCCCCAGCGGCTGCGAAACAACTGTCCAAGACGGCGGTCAGACTTACGACGTAGCTAAGGGTGCTAAGAATCTCTGGGTACTGTTGCGACTGACGCCTGGGCTTACGAGGGAGCGGCGTTCTTTTGATCCTCAAACAAGTCGCAGAACGGTTCGCGGCTCATGTTCGCCATGTATAGTCCCTCCTAGCCGGAGGGCGAGGCGTCGCGCCGCCACGACGCCGCAAGCCGCTTCGAGACAAGTGCAGCGTCTTCCTTGGAAGGGATGCGGCGGCAGCCGCAAATCACCCCGCTAATTGAACGAGCAACTAGTTCAGTGGACTCTTATGAGCTTGGTTGCGGCGGCCCTTGATGTGTGCTGTCGTGAGCTTGAGACTCCTCGCCCAGCGGCACGCACAAGACGAGGAAGAAGAGCCACGTTGGTGACGCATGGCAGTGGAATGACCACGCATCAATATTGGACGTTCACGTGGGCCGTGCGTGCTCGTCACCCTCGCCGATTATGTGTGATCCGTGACTGGACAGTGCCATCTGCACGCGTTCCCTGATCTGGGGAGAACATACCCTTTATAATGAGCCACCCAGCTCATTCGAAAGAGTCATGTAGAGAAGCGCCACGTTTGAGAGGTCAACATGTAAGATAGAGCTCACCATGTACGTAATGTAAATAAACACTGTCTTCAAGTCTCCCTTCCTCCTGCCTCGACATCTTCATCCCGGATCTCCGGTGCCACAAAGGCCAGTCGCAACAGTACGGACAGGCCGCAATTGGAATCTGAACTTGGCTACCTTCAACGCTAGAACGATATCTAGTGAGGATAGTCTAGCTGTCCTATTCGAGGAATGAGAGGGTGTTCACTGGGATATAATGGGGCTCAGCGGAGTTATGACGATATGTGGGGTTTAACGTCCCAAAACCACCACATGATTATGAGAGACGCTGTAGTGGAGGGCTCCGGAAATTTCGACCACCTGGGGTTCTTTAATGGGCTCAGCGG